AGATCAAATGAATTTTCTTTTATTTTTGCTGGTTTTAAGTAGCACAATCCCCTTCTCTTTTACTTAATATTCTAACATATTGTATAGCTTAAATTAATTTCAAGATCTCTACCAATAAGAAGAGATCACCACTCCACTAACAAAAAAATCAAGTGTAATGCCTCATTTATCCCTGTTTTCCTTTGAACAAATCAAAGCTTAGCTAATTGTGAAACATTATTAGCAATTGCCATATCTCAAAAAAAGAAAAAAAAAAAAGAAAAAAAAAGAAGGTGAAATGTTACTAGGATTTTAATAGCCTACTAGGAGTTTTTGGTTCATGCGAATGCAATCTTTAGAACCCCCGGAGAGAAACGAAATGAGTATTTGCTTTAAACATTTGACAACCTCAAAATAGCTAATGAAAAGAACCATATATACGAATAATTGTCTTGAAGCAGGCTACATTGTCCACATTCAACAAGTCGACAAAACATCAGATATACTTCTCTTCTCTAATTAGCACCAAAAGGACATAAAATGAACAAAACCAAGTAATAACATAGACAGATGACACAGGCATCACCGACACCTCAGTAACTTATTCTTTCATCCTGGTTTCCAAGGACCACATCAATAAGCAGTCTTGGACTACAACGATGCCTTGAGCAATTTGAAAGCCTGAAACAGAACCAAGCAATAAGGACCAAGAGTTAGAACACAATGACTCAAGGAAGTTCTAAAACAAGAATTTTGACTATTGTGAGAGCCGTTTTTGCAGAACTAAAATAAAATGAACTAGGAACACAAGGAATGAAACGGAGCAAGAGGATTGACGCCATACCTCGCTTGTGCCTAAACAAACCCCCCTAGTTTTAACAGTAACGATACTCTTTATTTCAAGTCGGTTAAGCATGGTAATACCAAAAACAGCTGAATTAGGCCTCACAGACAGGTCATCCATGACCGTGTATATCAGCTCGCCGCTCACATAACCACCATCATTCGAGAGAGATTTCTTGGATGGCTCAACTAATATAGGGGGTGAGGCAATTCGCATGGCCTGAAACATCAAACGGCAACTGTAGGACTTGGAAAATGCATAAGAAAATGTAGTCTGAATATCTAACAATTCTTGAGGATCAGTTGTGTTAATGATCTCAACCTTTGGCTTCACCAAGTCACCCTTGTTTCATGATGGATGCATGATCTTGTCATTATAATCTTCAATGCTCTTGCAGATGTTTGCAAGGCAGCCCTCCACACTCTGGCTAGCAAGAACCCTCATCACAATGCCAACAGGCAAGCGTGATAAGTGAAATAGAAAATCCATTAAGTCTTTTCCTCCTTCAGCAAATACAACTCTCTGGGCATTTGTGTCTACTAGAAGCTTCAAGCTAATTTGTTTGTTAGTGGCCTCTGTTGTCAAGGAGGATGCAATGGAAACTGAGACGGTCTTTCTGTAATAGTATAACCCTGCAAGGCCTTAAAGATATCAGGATGGCTTTTTTAGAAGTGGATGGGCAAGATCGGTGGCACAAAAGAATAACAGCTAAGCAAAATATAACAGCTAAGTACCCAGTAACAGCTTCACATTATGATGAGATAGAAAGCAATGTGATTGATGGTTCATCTTTATTTTAATTCGCAGGAGATAATACATGCTAGACAATTAACACTGTCATAAGCTTCAACAAATTAAGGGCAGCTGCAGCTTTGACACTTCAATTGGAGTAAGCTGCAGCTAACTTTGCTGACAATGCAAATCTGGTTATGCAGCAGTGGACACGTTAGATTGTCCTCTGACCATCCTCTCAGGTTTCCCTCCATGCTCACCTGAGAATTGCAAAGTAAAAAGTCATTAAATATTTGAAGAGATGCTTCAACAAGCAATTTAAGAAAGCATTACTTGAATTTGAATGGAATATAATTAAGTTACCTGTGCGAAGTGTAATGACATCAGAGACAGGCACCATTGTATTACCAAAAAAACTTTGTTAGAAGCTTCAAGATGTATCAACAGAGACAGGGTTCCAATAGTCAAATATGAGACAATGTACCCCTACTGACCCTAAATTAACAATCCCACTCTTTTGGATGTGGTTAGGATACACAAAGAGGCAACAGAGACAATTTCATAAAGATGTAGTCACCACGATCAAGCTATAATAGGAAGTAAAAAGAAGGCAAAATCGGGGCACAGCAGCAGTTCTAACAATCTGATGTTGCAGAACTTAAAACATTTCCTAGCTCATTTACACCAAATGTCTGCAACAGGCCTCATCTATGTATGATTTTGTCAGAAGTCAAAACATAAAGAAAATTACAAAACAACTTCACTTACCCAAAATTTTACTATTGCGGTTCCATAATTTTATAGTTTACAGCTTTATTTAGCCGTAATGGGAGAATTCCCTCAACTAAATAGCTTGAAAGGAACAAATTTGGATGCTTACAGAATATCTTGCCATCACCAATCTCTCCGGTCCTTGCCTCCTCAATTATCTTATCAATCACAGCCTCCACCTGTAACACAGTTACAGGATAATTAAGTGCAATAACTTAACTAGAGATTTTAAGCAATAAATTTGCCATGATTTTCCTTCTATTGCAATATATCAAGGTGATTCTTCATATTATATCTATACCTGCTCCTTTCTCACCACAATCTCCATCTTAACTTTAGCAAGAAACTTGTCCCCAGAAAATTCAGAGCCTACAGAGTAATAAATAAACCAAAAGAAAACTTAGGCAAGACGGTAAAAAACATTAAATTCATGACGGTCCTAGAAAGCACAGAAAAATAACTAGTGGAGATAGACTAAAACACCAGTGAATTTCTCAGCATCTTCATGGAGAGGATAGGAAAACAAAACAAAAATGGAAGCAAAATAAGGAGGAGAGTGGCTAAATTTTCAACCCCTTCTACAGGAGAAATGCTTACCACCATGCCTCTCTGTTGAACCCCCTTGAGCCCCAAAGCCTCGTACATCAGAAACTGTAACACCACGAATGCCCATTTTCAGCAAAGCCTTAATTTTCAGAACATAAATGAATAATCAAATGGAATACCGCCAGGCAACTAAAGAAATAGTTCAAAGAAGGTTAATAATAAAAATATAGCTGGACAAAAAGGAAGTCAAATGGTAACCAAGGATTCATTCCACTGGAAAGAATATGTCTTCCTTAATACAGGAATAGGATCCATATCCATAGTATGACACTTGGAAGAAGATCGGAATAATTAGAAGTAACTGTATGAGCCTCTTTTTTCTCCCATGATTTGTTGGAAAATGAATGGATAAAAAAGGAGTCTTGAAGATGCTTTAAATTGAGTCTTGAAGATGCTTTAAATTATGTCTAATCATTATTGTTCTCAATTTCTCAGAGATAAAAGTACTACAACCATAACTTGAATATGAACCCAAATATAGTCAATGCATATTTGAGACCATTCAGCTTGTCTAGAGAAAACATGGTGACACCACAAAATTAATCTATTCCTCACTAAAATGAAGATCCTCAACAAGTTATAGGAGGATTAATCATGCATTTCTGCCATGCTTTATGACTAATATACTCAAATTACAACTGAATCACTTTCCTCTCCACTAATCACCTGGTGACCAAGATACAGAGTTAAAGCCGGTGTCCTGTGAACCCTCATCTCGCAATTCAAGAGACAATGATGCAGGGAAGGTAAGGGTAGAACAAATAACAAACGGTAGCTTCTATCATGTAACTTTTTGATGCCTGCCAAAAACCTCATCTACACAAATAAATCTTATCTTTTCAACGCAATGGCCCAAATATTCCTCATATGCTAACTTTGAGACTGAAATGCTGGAAATTTTTACTAGAATCAAGAACAAAAGCATAGTATGGAATAACATTTGATACAACACAGCAGGATCTTATTAACTATCCATGGAAAGGAAGTCAGAAACATGAAGTGCATTTTATAACTACATACATAAATTTAAAAGTCCCTCAGCTCTTACTGTCTTACGGAATAAACTTGCTGGATTCGCCAGGGCCTATTTTTTCCATCCGAAATTCAACACATGAACAAACAAGGAAAAACAATTAGGAATGGAAATGATCCATGGCATGCATGGGAAATAGAAAGATAGGGCGCTATATGTACCTGAGAATCGCTTCCACCTTGTAATATTTTGCGTCCGGGACATAATTTACTAGAAATGAAAGAAACCCATTAAAAATCAAGACACCAATTGCACGTTCCACACAATAAAGGAAACCCAATAAACTCAAAATCCATGAAACATTGTCCTTAGAAACGTACCAGGAGAGCTCTGGGATGCTATTACAGGAACAAACGATGCCTCTCTTGAGCTCTTCAGAGTCCCTTTAAGATTAGAGAACCGAGAATCTCTAAAACCAGAAAGGATTGTACTAGAATCTACAAAAGGACACAGCTTGAGATGGGAACAAGAATGAAAGGGACGAAGTGCTTCTGGGTTTGTCATTTTAGCCATGGTTGTTTATTGTGTTTTGTGGAAGAAGAACAGGGACCGGAAGATGGCATCACCCACTGCCACTGGAACTGAACCTCGGAGTTAACGGCAGGACATTTGGCCCCGAAGTTGACACTTGGAGGGTGACAGGAAAATAAGCAAAGTGCAAATGTACCCTTATAGTATTCAGTAATTATATTTCTACCAAGATGGGAAATTTATGTCATGTTCTGGTCAAATGATGAATCAGTTTGTCGGTAGGGTAGGGTCGGCTGGAGAAGATTGTCGGAATGGCAGCGAAAGAGGGAGGGAGTGAAGGGGAAGAGTTCGTTTACAGGATTAGCACGGCCAAGGAGTGGGAAGAGTTGCAGAAAAATGGGTCTATCTTTGGCGGAGAGCTTGATAAATCCACTGGTTGCTTCCACCTTAGCAATCTCGATCAGGTCTCTCTCTTTGCTTTCTAGTGTTTCATTGATACATCTGCCCACTGCTCGGATTGATTGCTTCTGTAGCTTCTGAGACTGTAATTTTTTGGGGTAATGATTCTGTAGGTACGGCCAACGTTGCAGAAATTTTTCATGAATGTGAAGGAGGATTTGTATCTTCTTCAAATTGATGCTAAGAAGGTAAAGCACTTCACTTTGTGTCATTGAATCCTTATGAATTATCTTGTTCTTTATTTGAAGTTCTCTGGATGAGCATGAAAGGAAGTATAAATGATGGGTTCTTGACGTTTGTGTATGAAATATTTTCATTTTTGTGTTGGTTGTTAACAGCAGATAGAAATGGGGAATGAGTTTCTTGTTATGGTTAACAAAGCATAAGATTATTCATCTAGATGTCCCCATTATTAGTGATGCATTTAACTTGATGATGAATGTGTGATTGGGCCTATTCCTCTTCTTATTGTGTTAGTTGAACCAGATCAATGTTGGTGCTAAAACTTTCATACTGTAAAAAGCTAAAAGTCAAAGCAGTTAACTTGTATTAGCATTACTTAGGTCTAAGAAACCATTTAGGCAACAAAGAGCATAAGAGGGAAAAAGGCAAAAATATTGAAGGAGATTTTAGCCTTTTTAAAGTGTTAAAATCTTCTGAGTTTTTTGTTTTAGTTTATGAAACATAAAGGCAAGTTTAAAATCTAAACTTCTGGTACAACTGATGCTTAAGAAACCTGATGGGTAACAGTTCATTAGTTGCAACACATCATTGTTATTGCCTTGACCCTTGGAGTGGGAAATATGTTGGAGGAGGAAGAAGGGAAGGGGCTAGCAGAAGATGGACAATAAGAGGCTTTGTTAGGGGATTGAATCCATAGATGACTCTTTTATTGACTCAAATTAATTGAGAATCATACAAACTTACAAAGCATCTTTGACTAAAATTGTCCTCCTTCGTTGGCTTCAGTGATTAATAACGTGAGATTTTATTAATATTTTACTTGCTTAAATCGTTCATCATTTTACGGCCTATATCTTTGCAGCTTGGGGATGGATTGATATATGAATTGGTAGATGGTGTCGACAGATTCCCTCATTTCTATGGTCCATCTCGAAGCTTCTGCCCTCTTCCTTTAGATGTTGTTACAAAAGCAGAGAAGCTCTCTCTATCTGGAGGTCAGTACAGTTGTAGTCTGCTAAATTAGAATTATCTCAACCACAAGATCTCCGTTGTTTGTGGTGAAAGAAATAATGTTGAGTTGGCCGTGTATGATGTCTGCACTAGGGACTACTGCGACTATCTTTGGTCCATACTGTGGTTTGTCTGAATCTTCTTCAAAACTGTATTATAGCACCTGTCCTTACAAATTACATGTGGTTGTATTCATCATATTACTTGAAATAAAAGTTTCATCACACAGACATTGCTTCCTTGAAAGCACAGCTGGGGAAGAACGGTGGGGTCAAATGATAACATTTTAGTTGTACGCTTTATATTTTGCTTCCTAGCGAAGCCCAAGTCGCAGCGATAGCTCAGTTGGGAGAACGTCAAACCGAAGATCTGAAGGTCGCGTGTTCGACCCACCCTCACCTCAAACTGTTTTACATTTTTACATTTTTTTCCTTCCATGGGCTGAAGAACAGCAGCCCACTTCTTATGTCAATTCGGTCACCTCCAAAAATCTGATTCTACTTCTTTTAGGCCGGAAAAGATAAATATTGTGCAAATAATTTTTTCCCTCAAATATTTTACGTTTCCTCTATTTGAAGGCCAAATTTTCGTATTAGTTGAAAATTTTTTCAGGTCTTTTTTTTTTTTTTTCTGCCAAAGTTTTCTCTGGTCATATTGATATTGATGCGACCTATTTTCTATATATTTGAAAATAATATATTTATAAATGTAATATAATATTATAAATTTATAATAAAAAATGTCATTTTATGATTGATTATTTTTATTTAAAAAGTTTGTTTCATATATTTTATATATTTACTCATTTAATAATATACCATAATTATAAATTTAAAATTTTATATAATATTATAATGATACTATTACAATTATCATTAATTTCTATTTATTAATTTCTATTTAAAATTTTGGGGACCCCAACTCGGACACCGGTGGTTATTCAGATGCTCTAGGATTTAGTTTCCTACCTCCTGCCGGACGTACCTACTTCGGCAGACCGGCAGGGCGCTTGTCCGATGGCAGATTGATGATAGATTTCCTCTGTAAGTCCAAAAACTATATACAGCAATTTAATTTTTTTTTGCATGTTTCATCACATATATATACAAAATACTTCTTCTTTGTGACATAAAATCCACAACAGCATCCAAACGGAATCAGGATATATATATATATATATATATATGGTGATACAGAGTAGAGTAATTTTCTCATGTTTAAGCTTTTTTAGAGAGTTAAATAATTATTGGTGGAAATTAACAGAATTCTCTTTATTTTTTATTTGTTTTCTTGCTTTTATTTTCCCATTCCCATATTTCTTTTTGTTTTTTCTTTTTTTTTTTTCTTGAACTATATGGAAGTTAGGATCTGCATTTAAAAAGATAATTTTTCATATTTAAGACTTATTTTTTTAAAAATTTTGACTCCTGTAGGTTCTCTGCCTTAATATTGGCCTCTTCTACACCCGTGACAGCATGTATAACATAACCTTGGCGTGTGGGATAGAAGAGGCCAATCCAGGTGTTACTTTTTAGATTTTTTTCCTAAGGGAGACAATGTTTGTCTAACTATTTTTTCCGCCAAGAGGTTGGCTCACGGAAATTAAACTCATCAGGAAGAGAGGCTGTGGTTGGTTAGCCTTCCATGGAAAATTGGTCTTAGGGTTCCATACAAATATATAATTAGAGTTGGAAATAAATCGAGTTGGGCTGAACACTTTGGATATTAGAGTTCAAATAACTCGCAAAATTTCTTTTTATATTTCTTCCCTTTGTATGCGTGTATATATATATATATATATATAAAGAATGGGGGAGATTTTTTTTTTTATTCTTACTTTTGGTTTTCAATTCCATTATTAAAAATTAAAAAGAAAAAGCACCTGAACATCGAAAAATAAAATAATGAACTGGGTCACTCTAATCTTGAGTTTGCTCTCATGGGTCAATGGGAGAAGAATGGATTCGTGGGCTTGAGGTAGAATTATAGGTCAGATCAGAGCCCAAGGAATGTATTGGTCCAATTGGATATGTGGATATTGGATTCCCCTGTTTAATTTTTGATGAGAACCGAAACTTTTTTTTTTATAAAAATAGAATTGTATTAATAATTGAATCTAAGTGTAATGTAAGCTATAATCAGCTATATAGACTCTTAAAATAAAATGTTAGGAAGGACTTATAACATTAAGAGATTAAGAGATAAAGTTAAGTGTTTCTTACAAATAAAACAAGAATTTATTTATTCTATGCCCTTAAAAGGCACATAATAAGAAGTAATGATTATGTAATTATTATTATTTTTTATCTTAAAAATAGTAAAGTTAGCTTTTGTTTTAATTACAAATACTATATGTTAATTTTCTATTTATTAATTTTGAAATTAAAATTAGAATTTATTTTTTCAATTTAAAATCTCACATCTTTAGGACACAAGATAAAAAATAATAATTATGCAATTATTATAGTTTTTATCTTAAAATAATAAAGTTGACTTTTCTTTTAATTACAAATATCAAATGTTAATTCTCTATTTGTTCATTTTGAAATTAAAATTAGAATATATTTTTTTAATTTAAAATCTCACATCTTTTAAGAAAAAAGTGACAATTATTAA